ATGCCGAACCATCGTTTGCCGAAGAGAGTACTGTTTTCCATGCCCAATTCGGAGTGGCGTAAACAGAGAGGTGGCCAACCCTTGACTTGGCAGAGGAGTATGAAGGAGATTACGAAACGCTTGGGTGCTGTCGGTGCTACTCACCTTCCAGGGTGGGGACCGCGTGATCCTCACTGTGCCTGGTTGGAGATACTAGAACATATGGCTGCCAACCGATGTCAGTGGCGTTCTTGTTGTCGGTTTCTGTCCAGATTGCCTGGTTGAATTTCTGGAGGTGTCGGCACGTCGGAATGATTGTGTTAGGCTAGCACTAAGTCCCTCCCCCATCCACCTTTATTCTTTTCTTTACAATAAGGCTTTCAAATAAGTCATGGTTGTACGGCAGTGAAGCATCGGTGTTGAACACTGATGTCATGCTGTCGATGATGATGGTGATGATGATGATGATCACCATAGAAATCAGTTACTGTTTAGCGGTTTCACTGCATCTGCTGTTGAGAACATTCTACTACAAATGTGAGCGTAATATAGTTGTCATAGGGGCGAAATATTGAAGTAATAAACAAATCAGAGTACAGTTGACCGCGGAAACCACAAACTAGATTTTAATGGTTCTGTTAGAACAGAAATTACTCGTCAAAAGTTGGTCTTTCTTGGAAGGTACTTGTTGACCTCCTCCTCTGTTTGTGTTTCGACTTCTCTTTATCATCATAATCGAGTCACCCTACATGTTTCAGAGCCACTAATTGATCTTCTTGTTGTGTAACCTTCGCCTCCTAACCTCTTTTTTAAGGACTGATTTAGTTTCTTTAAGGTCTATTTGCATTGCCTTCTCTGCTTACTGATTTTGTTCAACGTTCCGTTATACCCCTATGTGGCTTGAAATCCAACAAGTTTCTAACTCAGGTGGCCACCTGACTTCAGGAATTCCTCGTTCTACGGTCCCTGCAGTGGACCCGGTGGTCAAAAACCTGAAGACTCCTCACATCATCTGTCTGCAGAGGCCCTGTCTTGCACACGTGCAACAAAACAACCCTTATTGTAGCCTGGTACACGCGACCCTTAAGATCTAGTGACATGCTTTTTTGACACCACAAGTGGCGCAAATTAGTCAACGGTAATTGAGCCTTTAAGATTCTTGCACTGACTCCATCAGATACATTTCCGTCAGGGCTAATACAACTACCGAGGTATATAACATTTTCCAATCACCAGCGATCATCCTTGAATTTTAAGGCATATATTCGGAGAATGTACGTTCTGAAGCATGATTTTGCACTTTGAAGGCGCAAGGTGTAGGCCAAAAGATGGTATGATTATGGTCAGTCTATTTAAGAGGGCTTATGCTTCGCTTTGATCTTCATTGATGAGAGTGATGTCATCTGCGTACTCCAGATCGATGAGGCTCTTACTAGCAACAATTTGAACACCGGGGCTTTGGTGACCTTCCAGCGTTCGTCTCATTATTCCATCAATGATGAAGCTGAACTTTTTGAAGGGAAGCTTTTGGAGAGTTCACCATACACCCACACCCAGATATGTGTGAATACAGCGATTGGATTATTTTCACAAATTTCTTGGACGTATCCTGTTGCCCAAGTGTAGCTAACAGCACTGACTGATCGACAAAATCGGACACACCCTTGAAGTCAAGGAATATCAAGATTGTGGGTCGTCTCTACATGTGTCTTTGCTGCAAACGTGATGGAGAGTGCAGATGTGGTCAACGCTGCCTCTACCCCATCGACATCCCGCTTGCTACTGACGAGTGAATGTTTCGCGTAAGAAGACGAAGAATCAATGATGCCAGAAGCCTTTTCGCGACAGGAGCCAAACTAGCACCCTTGTGGTTACTGCATTCACTGCCAGTACCCTCTTTGAAAATGGGCATTATTATCGGTTCACCTCAGTTGTCTGGGACAGTCTGTTTCTGGCAGATAGATACAAATAGGCTTGACAGGCACTAGGTGAGAAGCCCACCGCCATCCTTAAGAAGAGCGGGTGGAAGGTCATCAGCACCAGTAGCACCATCGCGCTCGATATACACTCGGACACTACTGTGGTTGAAGGCAACTCCATATTCACAGTCCACCTTTGTGTTGAAGGCCAAGACTCCGGATTGGAGGTAACAGGTGGACAACGGAATTGCTGTTCGTTGTACTTCGTTGAGCGGTCCAAACGTCTTTCCTGGATATCAAGGTGCTATTTGGGTCCCTGAAAATTTCACTGACAAGAGGCTTCCAAGGACCAGTTGAACGAATCAATTGGAACAGCCTGTAGACGTTTCCAGCACTCTTTGCATCTTCTATTTCTTCGGCCTTTCGAACCGACCAAACATCGCGATCTTCACGGACACTCAATGTCACCTGCCGTCGGATGATGCGTCTGGTGGAGTTGTGTTTGCGGCCAGAAGGAATCTGTCACCGGGCTCCTGAAAAGACATAGTCCCATCAGAGATCCAATGTTTGGTTGAGGTTGGCTGGGTTGTACGGGAAACAAACGTTCTCGCTCTCAGTACTGCTAAGGATATTCTTCCCCGGTGGCCGTTTATATTCCACATTGGACCGTCCGGCAGGAGTTCGAGGAGCTGGTTCCGATACTTTCTTATTATTACTCCTGGGTCAACCAGTTTCTCAATGGCTAAACGAGGTTCATCTGGAAATCAGCAACGTACAAATGCATGGTCGGAGTCCACGCTGGTGTTCCAGGAGTGGTAGGCGGCGATCGATCCCCGCTGCCGATAACTGACGGCAATGTGGTCTATTTAGATTCGGGGCTGGTTTGTTCGTGGGCACCACGTTGTCAAGCAGTATCCGCTGTTCCGGAAATTCGTACTCCAAAGGAACTGTCTATGATCGGCACACATGAAATAATCGATCCCCGTTGTCCGTGCGACTCGTGTCCAATCCAAAATGACCACCCAATCGGGCCTCAGCAGCGCTTAGTCTTCCTATCTTGGCGTTCATGTCACCAGCAATCTCAACAATATCTGGGCTTCCAAACCGCTTTAGAAGCGCACCTACAGCGTCATAGAAACTGTCCCTGGCAGATTCAGAGGCACAGTCATTTGGGGTGTAAGCAAACAATAACGAGGGTGCGGTGGACCTCACTTCCTCTAGTTTCTCATGTTTTCGCTTACCCGCCCTGCTCTATGCAGCGAGTAAGGCTGATGGCACCACGCGATGGCCGATGTGGCATGAGAGTATTGTTAGTTGTAAGTGTTATGGTTGTACATGGGCTGAAATACTGTCAGGTCGCCCACACCTAGACAGGAGGACGATCAGGGTCCTCAAACGAATCCTTCTGCTCAAAAGTCCAACCTCAAAGCAGTAGTGTTTGGCGGGAAATGCAAGTGCTTTGCTATTTCTACGGAAAATTTCGCCACATGTTCCAACCCCCAACCTGCATAAATCGAAAAATCGTCCAGCTATAGCGCCCTTTCGGCGCCTAACTGCCATTCTACCACAAGGAAACACGAGGACTGGTATACTGCGGAGTTGCCAAAGCCTAGGCAGGGAAAGTCGAGAGGCAGAGGTCTGGTTCGATCCACGGACCTTCTGGTCAGTAAATTCGTGCTCTAACCACTGCGCCATCCCACCCAATACAATACCCATCCTAACATATCCAGCTGCAGCGGCCTTTGCATCATCCGAGGTGCGCAGCTGGAACCTGGAAGAGAGCGAGGGGGCATTCAGTTCGATCACAGTACTTGCGTCCCACCTCCTTGTTTCTGACACAACATACATCAATACAGAGGGAATCCAGCGTACGAGCAAGAGCCACCTGCTGACCTGCTTGCCCCAGTGTGCGAACATCAAAGGCAGCTCGGTAGACAGGCTTTCGGGGTTTGAAAACACTTCAAAGTGCTTAGGGTTATGACTGAACTCGGACGTACAGAAGCTGCAGCTGAGTGTGATGCATGGCGAGCAAAAGGTCAGTTCTTGAGCTGGGACCTGCGGAGAAAGTATTCAGATTTGGGTGGGGGAGGGTGAAAGACGGAAAACGTGAAAGTGTAAGAACGGAAGTGTCAGTAGTAGCATTCTCTCACTTGCCCACCCTGTTGTTTGCAGCAAGTAACCGACCCGGCTGAGTGCAGCACGCGACAGCCGATGTTGTTAGCTGCAAATGTCATGGTTGTACGTGGGCTGGGTTGCTGTCAGGAACAGTAGGGTCCTCAACCAAAGCCTTTGGCTCAAAGGCTTAACCGCAAGGCAGTGGTGTTTGGCTGGTAATGCAATTACACGACCATTTTTATGGGACACGTCGCCAAACATTTCCCAACACCCAACTTGGAGGGCCATGAGACCGTATTCACCTAACTTCCTTGGCGTTCATGTCACAAACGACCTAGGACGTCGTAGAAACTGTCTGTTATAGGCGCAGAGTTACCGCCGGTCGCGATGTTAGCTGGTTCAATAAATAGTGGGCGATATACTCTTCTGCTGGTGTCTTAAAAACGTTGCCAAACGAACAGCGCATGGTCGACTTTCAGCAGGTATCAAATCAAGCTGGGGAACTTCCGCTGAATGGCTTAACACCACACCTACCCCATCATATCCAGCTTTAGCGGTCTCCGCCTCACCAGTAATGTTGATCCAGAAGCTGGAGTAGAGCCAGGGGTACTCATGTGAGTTACACTACCTGCGTCCTGGATTCTTCTGATTGACAACATACATCCATGCAGGGGGAATCTACTACGAGCGAGAGCCGTTTGTTGTCCTACTTGCTTCAGTGTACGAATATTGAAAGTAGCTGAGTAGAGTAGCTTTCGGAGTTACAAGACTGACTTCAAGGTGTTTAGGGTCGTTACGGGAGACGGATGCATGGGGGCTGCAGCTGAACGTAATGCAGGGCGAACAAAGTGGTCACTTCTAGTATCGAACCTATAGATAAAGTTCTCGGAATGGGGTGTAATAGGGGAGAAGAAGGAATGCGTGTAAGTTTAGAAGGGGTGGCACCAGCATTGACATGTTTTCGCCTGCCCGTGCTGATGTATGCAACAAGTAAGGTTGATGGCTCCATTCGATGTCCGATGTTACATGCCAGTATTTTTGTTGTGAGGTTCATGGTTGTACGCGAGCTGTCAGGGTGCCCGTACCTAAACAGGATGGCAATTAGGCCTTCAAACAAAGCCTACAGTTCGAAAGCTTGACCGCAAGGCAGTGGGTTGATGCCAGTATACTACCACAGTAGTACAAGTTCTCATGGAAGAATCGCTGTGTGTTACAACCCCCAACCAGGGTACAGGAGACTGTGTTCGTCAAGCCTCCATCCACTCACCAACCTGGCATAAGCAATTCTACGGGTTTCAGAGTACAATCTCCAGGCGTAGCTTAATGGGTCATAGAAGTACATAAACCGCCACACCGCTATGTAATCCACTACCTTTGCAACGGAAATAGTTACTTTCAGTTTTAACTGAGGTGTTTGCCTCTGGTTTGGTTGAAGACGCCAACTTTTCTGTGGTGTTGTGTATTATGAAAAGTGGGCTACCAACATCCTTGTTCTGTTAGATACTGGCAATACTGAAAACGACACTGGTGATGAATGTGTTTCATTGTTGCGTTTTATGTCCTCAGTTTTCATTCTCCATGCCGGCGGGTGATGCCAGAACATTTTTTGCTAATGTCTTCATAAAGTCATCTTGAAGCCTCAGAGTTATTGCGCAGAATTCAAGCTCAAGATGCAGGGAGCTAAAGATTGGAAACTTTATCCGCAATATCCATGTTTTACACCTCAAATGCCTGTAGGCTTTGGAAAGCTGGCTATATTTGAGCGCCTGGATTCCTGTATGTTACTTGAGAGGTTTGCGCAACGGTTTTAGCTGTTATTCTATTTAGGAGATCAGCCAGGAATATATAATGTTTTTATCTCTGCCCAGCTGACCAAATAAATTTTGTCACTTTCAGACTTGATCGGTTCTGGCGTTGCTGTTGTTGGTGAAACAAGATCGCTTCTAGCCAGCTTACCGCAATCGGTTGTCGATTTGTTCACTCAGCGACTAACCTTTGGGATGTTGTCGGAGGAGTATCGTCTCGGGTTTGTTCATTGCTTTACTCGCTGACATTTAGATTCCTCATTATGTTACCCGATATATATCAACCGTGAACGACTAGTCGGTGTATTCCTAATGTGTGTCGGATCACTACAATTGACTGGGACAAATCCGTGATCTAGGATGGGGATGACTAACTAAGTTTGTAACTGCCATTAGTTGCGTTGGCGGCTATATGCTACTCTTCTGACACTTTTCTCGCAGTAACTAAGGCAGTTCATTTAAGATAAAGCAAAAAATAAAAGCTTATCACTTGACATCCAGTTGCGTATCATTTACTACACAAGCACTTCGTAATCTAGGAACTGTTGTGGTTTTTAGTTGTTGCTGGCCAGTTGAGCCTAAATTCTTAGTGCACAGAGGTCAGGTTTACATAACAGCAAGCGGTTGAGCTCGCGGAAAACTTGAGTGGTTTACCGAGACTCGGTACACCACCTGAAAAACTTCTATAGGAACGACAGTATGATCTGAATCAATCAGATGCTTACCAACTGAATGGAACTGAGCTTTCTAATTTCTTAGGTTAAAAACACTGGGCAGTGTTCATGGACTCCATTAGAATATCACCTTTGTTGTGTGAGCAGGCCTGTTTCCTACGCACTATTCTCTTAACGGTGCCATCGTTGCTACCAATCATTTCAACCTCAAGAAAGCTAATGGTGTTCTGGCTTTCCGACTGGGTTTAATCTGCTCTTTCGATGGGCTTGTGTGAATTCCGTCAGAATCGCATCGGGACAGTTCGTTTGGGGTGAATGTCATCGGAGTGGCGCGTATAAATGGCAACACCGCCCCACCCCCCCCATGTGGTGCCTGTTTCCTACGCACTATTCTCTTAACGGTGCCATCGTTGCTACCAATCATTTCAACCTCAAGAAAGCTAATGGTGTTCTGGCTTTCCGACTGGGTTTAATCTGCTCTTTCGATGGGCTTGTGTGAATTCCGTCAGAATCGCATCGGGACAGTTCGTTTGGGGTGAATGTCATCGGAGTGGCGCGTATAAATGGCAACACCCCCCCCCCGTGATAGTATTCAATGGATGTCCTTCAAGCTCGCCCATGAATGCGCCAAACAGCATTTGGCCAGACGAGGACCCATGGCAACGCCTTCTCCCTATAGACCTGATTGTTGAACCGAAACTGTATGTTTTGTGTACACAGAGTCAAAAGCCTCTCAAGATCATCGGTTGAGATTCCACTGTCTCATCCGTTATCCTCCACATGGTTGCCCAGGTCGTATATTGTTTCGTGAAGTGGTGTACTGGTAAAGCATGGCCTGTCGTCAAGTGAAAACATTTGCTGTCTGATTGCGCTCAGCTCCTTAATCGCGTCAACAAACTCGAAATTACTATGCTTACTGTATTTGGCAGTTACATGCCTTACTGGCTTTATGTTTTTAGTGGTATAGAGAGTTGAAGATATCCAGTATCAGTCTCATTGGTAGGTTGTTTTTATGCATTACGCCGCACAGTCGTTGTATAGTGACCCCACTCGGACGAAGACGGCTAAGTTCAACCTCGTCAATATTTTTTTAATGCCTTTGGCGACTTATTATCTTGGCAACTGATCTTTCAGTCTGAGGCATCTTATCTCTTGTCTCCACTCTGCTGAACATTCAACCATTGGTTAGCACTTCCACCATTTTTGTATTGTACTCAGTTCTATTCATGTTGCGACCCCTGCACCTTTGTCGGGTTTTAAGATGAGAATTTTGTCGTCCATTTGCAGCTGCTTTAAAGCTTCTTGGTGTTTCTGTCACTACTTTGCGACACCTTGTTTTGAAGTCCAACTATTGGTAACACAAGATGACTAGGGCAGTTGTAAAGCGTTGTACTTCCGTGTCGGACCATCATCATCATCGTGGACAGCACAACATCAGTGGTAAGAACTGATGCTTCGCTGCCGCACAACCATGATCCATTTTAAAGTCTTAGTATGAAGAAAATAAAGGTGGACAGAGAAGATACTTACTGCTACTCTGTTACAGTCATTCCGTGGAGCCTTCATCTCCAGACACTCATTTAGTTAATCTGAGTGCCATTTACACCGATCAGCAGCCATATCTTGCAGCGTCTCCAACCAGGCGCGGTGGGAATCACGCGGTCCTTATCCTGTAAGGCGAGTGGCACCGAAAGCATAAAAAATTTCAAGCAGAACTAACTGGGGCTGAGCCTGAGGACGGTGTGGACAACAAAACTTTGAGCATACTACTAGTACTTTTATTAAGACAGGATCTGATAACAACGATGAACAACTGTGGACGCACCGTTCCGGTTTATACTGAACTTTGGCATGCGGCGTGACACGACCCAGTTGATCTCGGTCGTCCTGCTCCCCACGAAGTTATTGATAGCTATATTTTGTAAGGGTATAGTACAGCACAATTTCTGATGGCACTGGGAACGATTTGGTTGTATCACCACTTGATTTTTGTTTTCGAAACCTAGCCCTACACAGATACGCATGATGTGATTTCGTTGCTTCAGCGTTTGGTCTAGCTTATCAGTTGACCAGTGATCAGTTGATCAGGTAACCAATGACAGCACACAAGACGCAGAAACGCAAGAGGGTGCATCCTGTTCTTGTTCTTTGGGATAATGCCACTCGTTTATTGTGTTAACTGATAGTGTTCTCTTGTTTTTTAAACTCTGCTGGTCGCCACACCACCTTAAATTTCCCCCCATTCTACACCCTGTAAGGAATATAAATCGAACCACTATTCCTTTGGTGCTAGATCGGGTTAATCCATAACTGCTTGTTCATCTTGCTCTACCCTGTCTGGCAGCATTTTCAAACAGTATCTTCTTGATGACGTGGGTGACGAGTTTGTAATATCAACTTCTCCTCAGTCCGACCGCATGCAGCTATCCGAAGGTCTCACGTGCCTAGAACTGGCCCGTCGTACTCCGGGGTACGAAGCCGGTGATATCATTCGTCTTATTGGTCAGCTACACATGAGCGGGACACTGAAATTAGCCGAAGGCGAACTTCAAGCGGTAGACAGTGATATGGAAGAAAGTGACAAGGTGGAACCTTCAGCAAGACGGCCAAGTTTTGCCTTCGACCCGGATGCTCTGATGTCCGATGAATCCATGGATTCTAAGGTAAAGTGTTTTCCAACCATAAGTTATGAACAATATCGTGAGACCTCCGCAAAGTAAGAAATCACACTGTGCTGGTCGCTTGTTCTCGCAAGATTGACCGATATTTTGTAGGCTGATGCGATTGTCCCTCTATGAAGAGACAACCCGAAGTAACTGGTTGGATGTGACTTCTTTCGACGAGCTTTTTTAACACATTGTGTTTCAAGGAACCAACCAAATAGGGCATACTGGGCCTCATTTCGGTTGTTCTAGGCACTCCATTCATTTCACTCACTGGATAAAGCCTTTTTCCTGTGGGTTCTGTCGACGGGTTCATTTCGGTTTGACTCAGGTTTTCGGTCTTCACTCAACCTAACAACCAGTTGATGCCCTTCAGTTAGGCTGAAGTATGGTAGTCAGTAGTATTGCAAGTGGCATGTTGCCCTTTATGTCACATCAACACCAGGACCGCCATAGAGTACCATGTCAATATACTTCAACGAACATATTCTGATGGTAAGTCAAGATAGACACTCGCCTTTTGGTGACTAGGCACACAGGACAAGCTATTAATGAGGTAGTCCTCAGTTGTAGAATATCATACACGAGAGATTGAGTTGAATCTCTCGTGAAAACCAAATTGCTTTGCAAATAAATATAAGCAAAAGAATATATTTCTGGAAAGCAGTCCTCCGAAAGTTCGGTTTGATAAACTGCACACCCACTTAGCTCCTCCGTCGTAGCACTTGTCTAGGCGGTGTTTATACCGTAAACCACCAACCATGCCCTGACGGTGTCATCCGTAAAGCCATGTGAAAATGCAGTTTTACTTATTCTGGGTATTCCAACTACTGTTTGAAATGTTCCCATGGCCTCCTTATTAGGGCGTGTCATCAAGTTCGATTGTCATCACACGTGCGTTGGTCGACGAAGCTTTGTCACTAGTAGTTCCTGCAGTGAAAAATACCGCGGAGTTCGTCACCATTCCAGATGTAAATTGGACAGATGTGGGTGGCCTGGACTCAACCAAGACGCAATTGTACAACCGGTTTATGGTATGTATCCCCTTGTTGTTTCTCTATGTGATTCTGGTTTGCTCATTTCTATGTTCTGCCAAGCACAGTAGTGTCGTGGAGCCTAAGTTTTCGGAAAACATCGCGTAGGAAGTACGCACCTTGCAAGTTTGTCCTCCTCATATGGAAAGCATGAAATCTGCGTGAGTAGTCGCAGTCACTGAACTGTGGGCAAAAGTAGCACTTGGTATTGTTAACAGTGCGCTGTTCAACATTGCCGTTGTGAATTCGGTTTTCCTTTCTACTTTTCTCTTCTGCCGATAAGACGTGTGGTACTGCAGTGCTTTTTGTTCCATGAAATATGGGGAGTAATTGGATTTCGTCCATCTGTCTGCATCTACAGTTTAGGGACAAGATGGCTCAGTGGTTAGAGGGGGGATTTACTGATCGAAAGGTCCGTGTTTCGACCTCTCGAACTCCACTTTTCCTGGCTAGGTTTGGGCGACTTAGCAGTATCCCAGCCCTTGTGCTTCTTTCGGTTGCATGGGTGCTACAAATGAACGGTTTTTTTGTCTAAAGTTAAACGTCGTGGTCACTTTATCATCCTGTGGAACCAGTGATCGCATGTGAGGGCGATTTTATGATGAATTCAAGCAAGAGCAAGCCTCATGTCGGATCATTTGGAACGTTTTTGATCACTGAAATAAGTTCCTCATTACACACATTTTGACTACTTTTAATAGTATTGAGAACAACCTCTTGCAACGAAAAATTCGTTGTTTGTGCAACGAAGCCATTCTTTTGCCTCTATGATTGAGTTCTTGACGGTACCGAGTGACTAAACGCCGTAAGTATTTACGTCGGATTTCGTGTTGGCTTTTGGCACACGGATATTGTTAAATTCATTCTCCACGCAACAAATTTTTGTTCTGGATCTATGATAGTGAATACACCTCCAAGGTTTAATGTATCTTTTTGTACGCTTACATTTGGATGATTGTACTTGTTTTGTGCACTATTATCAGATGACATGTATTATTACTTACTTCCCCCTTTTCCCGCGAACTAACTTCCTGAAGGTTTTTGTTGCACGGTTAGAGGTGTTTGTCTCGACCACAACAGTAGTAATGCAGTTAGCATGCAGATACACGATTAGTCAGGCAGACGACTGTGTGTTCACCATTGACATGGAGAAACGAAGCTCTGTTGGGCGTGGAATGATGGACATCGAGGACAGTATAGACTAATTTAGAATGCCATACGTCGTTTGATGAAGCCCGTAAACTATGTAAGTTAGAGACTGTTGGAGCTAGTAAAGGTGCACCCACGGTTGACTTTAATGTCTGACTGGTATGCAATTATGAGTCCAGTAACGTGAGTTGGGCCTGAAATGCCTCCTTTCTCTTTAGCTGGACATATACGCTGGACTAAGCCACGATACAGGTGATTTTGACCAGGGAAAATGGAGCTGTAGAAAATTATGAACTAAGCGAGCGATTTTGCCAGTACAAACCCACTGAGTCGCAGCTACCTACCCCCCTCCCAAATCATCGGTGAACGAAACTGCGGCAGCTACAACCACCGTACGATGAGTACGCTGTTATTACAGCTGACAATGATGATGATGACTGTGTCGGAAGGAACTCATTTTGAATAACGGATATCCATGTTGATGAAACGGAACAGTCTACCACAATTGTCAATAAGGGGCAGTACGCTGTATTACAGCTGACAATGATGATGATGACTGTGTCGGAAGGAACTCATTTTGAATAACGGATATCCATGTTGATGAAACGGAACAGTCTACCACAATTGTCAATAAGGGGCAGAAGGCGAGAGTGTCACTGTAAGGTTGGTACGGCTGGGGAATTTTGTTTGGAGTCCATGAGAACATACTACTGCGGGATGTTCGATGAGATTCAGTCCCTCTCTTTCTGGCGATTCTTTATTTTGTTTTTTGCCGACTAGTGCCGAATAATTGCCTGCACTTTCGAAAAGTTCCTTACGCAAAGAAGGATGCCGGTTAGATACACTGCTTTGAGTTTAGTGCTAACTACTATTTGTGCTCACTCGGGTACCCCGTATTCTTCTTTTATCCATATAAACTTCGAGCCTACCCATGTTACATTTGATCTAACTGAAGTTGCCGCGTATCCGCATTGCTGTCACGGATTTGTTAGTTTCGTTATTTTGGGGTTCGTCTTCTATTCATTTTGAGTAGGCAGTCAACATGGCTATCGTTACAAAGTTCGGGTAAGTTGGGGTAGTTAATGTCGGGCTTTCAAACTGGATTAGGGAACCGCAATCTTTCCTTCACCCTCACACGTTTACACCTTCCTGTCTGTGTCACTAAATGTGCGTGACACCAATGTCGTTAACCTATTCATGACCAGCAGAATACGGTGATTCTCCTTCGGCGGGAATACTCTCGGGACCCACGAAAATCATTCTTCACTACTGGGGCTTCGCTCAGAGAGGTCTGAGAATCCACAGGTCAACCTGTGAATTTGAATGAACGCATGGCAATTTCGCTTCACCCTGTTTACTGTTGTCGTCATATTGCGCATATGACATTCTGAGATCAATGTTGTTTGGTATTTCACTTTTTCGGTTTTTCATCGGTCTGTGTCACTTACTCAACGCGAAACGGAATGTTCCAAATTTTCAAGCTGTAGTTGTGCACTTAATACTGAAGTCTAGATAACATAGAGTCATGGTTTATTATGACCCTTCAAGTAGTCATGAGAACAGAGACTATTACCTGCGGTGCGATTTAGTTGGTATCAGGACTCACCGTGCATCGGTGTTGGACCGTGTGACTCCGCGAAACTAGATCAGTTACGGAGATCCCTTTTCATCCATTGTTCACACTCATTGTCTTCGTTTCCATGTTTGCCTGATTAGCCTATTAGGGTTCGCTTAGACCACATTAGTTATATTTACCCAAACTGAGTGTCCAAAGCAATGCGCAGGAAATACCAATTGTGGAAATTGACTCACAAACATGTATTCTCTCCCACGGGGTTTCTTCTGCAAAGACCGAATGTGAACTCCCATCGTGTAACGATTTCTCGTTAAAGTGGTGTCCCCATACCCGAAGAGTAGATACCGTGAATGATATTTGCGCTTGTTCATCTGAGGTCATTTTGTGACTGCAGGTGAACTGATATGTTCCAAGTACATGATTCTAGTCGTTATTGTTTTGGTGACGAAAGCAGCCGTTGACTTGCCCCCGTTGCATTCCGTTTGTGCGCTGACAGGTCTTCAACCTTCACCATGTGGTACAGACTGAATGTTATCACAGGCAATTTCTGTATCCTCCTTTTTGTCCCCAGCTTCTTGTGGACGATTGGAAACGAGCTCAAGCGTTGGGTCGCCGTTCAGGTGGCGTGCTACTTGAAGGCCCTCCGGGTTGTGGGAAAACCCTTGTTGCGAAAGCCCTTTCCAATCAGGCTGGCCTGAATTTTCTGTCCGTTAAGGGACCAGAGGTCCTGAATAAATTTCAGGGTGAGAGTGAACGGCGGGTGCGTGAAATATTCGAACGTGCTCGCGCTTGCCAACCTTGCCTGATTTTCTTTGACGAAATCGATGCTATATGCCCCAAGCGTGATAGTGACGAATCTACGGGTAAGTTTTCAGTTTTGTCCTATTCAGACGATCTGTTGCATCCATTTTCAGCCGTCCCTGTTTCCTCTTTCGTGCTTCTGTTTTCTCAGTTTGTAGTAGCATCGAGGACATTTTTGGTGTGGCTTGGTACAGATGCCTGTTGTATGCTTTCTATGTGTGTTGGTTCGTTCGGGTATCGCTCTTTGCAACAAATGCTGTCAGAATTAATGCATGCCTGTTTAAAAGGATTTACTTGTAGAGGTCTTGTGTTAAAGTCCATGGGCTAGGAGCTTTACTGTATTTGCTGCAAACGATTTTCCAACTGCAGCATGAATGTACTCAAGTGTTTTTTTACCACATTAAAATCATACAGTTTTGGAATATCCCGGATTTCAATGTCCGGCATATGCTATGGTTTGTTTTATACAGTAGAGACGCTCCTTCACCCTTTCAGCTGTATTTTCAATAACATGGTTCCCCTGTTGCGAATTTAACTCACATGTTTTGAACTGTAACACTGAAGAAATAGAGCACACAAAAGACTACCGTCCAATTCGTGAGTGTTAGCCTCTCGCCACTGCAGCACGAGCCTGAGAACGAAGATGTAAACGCCAACTTCCGGCTCTTTTAGTAGAGTGCATCAATTGTCGTTCATTCACCTTGAACCTCTGTCATCATCATTAACAACAAACCAGTGCTTCACAGCCACGTCATCGCACTGAGTGGACAAAATGAAAGAAGGAAAGAAGTTCAGTGCTAGCCTACCTTTGATTATGATGGTGATTCAGTGATAGGGTCACTGTTGAAGGATGTCCACACATTCTTTTTCAGTGCCGTCCTGGTGCAGTTAAGCTTACTCTATAGGTTTTCAGCGTCAACTCATGCTTATGACTTCCTCATTAGCTTTTGCGTGACGTCACAAAATTTAAACCCTTTGTCAGTCATCATTTTTTCATTGGATGTATCTGTCGTCAATTGTCTCGTCTCTCTTGAGTTTTCTATCACAATCCTAAGATGCTGAAGAGAGCTTGTCTGCCACTTCATGGCGAAGGAAACTATCCGCTTTCCCAATTGCTTATTCTCACTCTGATTTGAATGTTGCTGTCACTTTTCCAGGTAGTCGCGTCAGTCTGGTGAACCAGTTACTGGTAGAGCTTGATGGTGTGGATAAGCATCGTTCCGCCCGCGTGTTCGTCGTTGGTGCCACCAATCGGAAGGACATGATTGATCCTGCGGTTCTCCGTCCCGGGCGTCTGGGTTTACACTTGGTAATCAATCCACCGCAGACTCCAAACGAAAGGCTAGCGGTACTCAGCGCGTGCACACGTGGTGCCACGGTTCCTCGAATCGAGGGCGGCATAACATCCCTAGATGAGTTGGCTAAAGATCCGCGCACTGAGAATATGAGGTGGGTTCTCTTTTGACCGTTTCATAGCTGTTTCGGACCTGGTGGACAGCAGCGATACCACATGTGTTTCTGACCAACTAGCACACACACACAAGAAGAGCCATATGAGCTGAATTTCGTTTCGTTGTTGTAGGTATGACATTCGGGTTCAGATCGCCAGTCACGATGGTGCACCCGTTTTCGGGGGAGTGGAGGAAGCTGGCGGGAAAGTAGTCCGTTTAAACCGTATGGAACTGAACTCCAGAGACTGTGGATTTATTGACAGCGTGGACTATTTTGCACATAGGTTGTATCCGGGACTCTTCACACGTGCATTTGCTTAAAGTTATATTTTGCCTATATTCAATTCGATCGCATTTCCATACTGCTATCCTCTTCGAAAGGCCATCGGTTGATATCACTTCAGGATTCCTAGAAATGAAATTAGTTGTGGCTTTCAATAATAGTGAGCAACTGTACAACATCTCTTGATTATTCAGCACCAATTTATTTGGGTTTTGGTCTCTCGATCGTATTTCGCAGTTATTTTGAGCTCAAAGCTCTGGCCTTACGGTACGGTATCAGGTTCAGTCGGATAGGCTCCACCCGTCTACTTCTCTGTATCCCCTGTTGAGTCATTTGCTGTCCTAATGAACTACGTAAAACCAAAGCGTCATTTCAGTCTCTGGTGCCACTACCTCGATCCATTTCAGGTGTTGGTGGACACGTAGACGCGACTCTTCTGGGTGATTATCATTTATGCCTTGGATTTTCAAATGATTCTGGTGCTTTTATTACACTACATCTTTTACATGTGCGAAATATTTGTTGCTCTGTTGTTTTTTCCACAGTGGAGCAGACTTGGACAACGTGCTAGAACTTGCCAAACAGAATGCACAGCTGGACAGACAGGATTTCATTTCTCGGACGCACTTGTTTGCTGCCCTTGCTGAGTTGTGTAATACCTCTTGAAGAAAAGACAATTTTTAGTGATCTTCATTTCTCTTTATTGTGGTCGCTTGGTTCATTGTCTGGTGATTATCGGTGACTGTTCCTGTAAATGATCCTTCGACTAAAGGATCTTTCTAGATAGTTTTCTATAGAGAATAATGTTGGTAGCTCAGGTGCGTAGATGGTCGTTGGTTTGTTCGCTAAGCTGAACAATTTGATTGCAAAGGTTTCGTCACCAATCAAGGTGACATCGGTGCGTTATTGGGGAGCGTAGCGGTGAATTACGATACTTTATTTGCTATCCTGCTTATACGGATAACTTGAAGAGAGTGACTGCTACCCAGACCATTCAGTCCTTCGTTCAGCTTATTATAGGCAATACTGTTCTGTTTATCAGATGTACAACACAGTTTTGTTCATAGAGTCAATGCTATGAGAATACAGTAGTTCGACTGCTATTCCTTATAAAGCAGGTCCAATTTCCATCTTGACGCTTATCAATGAAAGAATTCCTAGACCCTTCTGTTTCCTTGAAGCTATATTCAGTTATCATATTGCCGAAGGATTAAACGTCTATCATCAAGCTGTGATCCCCGTGTTGTAATAAATCACATTTGGAGAGCATTAAACCCGTTTAGTGGACTAGAGTAAGTACGGTGCGCCCGAACTCACTCTCAGTAAGGCATCGCTCAACCGTCGCATGCTTCCAGTTTGCTTTTAAAATTACAACTGACGAACTCTTCACATGGTTCAATTGGTCAACATCTTCAGTGCGACTGTCAAAAGTTTTAATATTCAGTAGAATACGCTTCTGAGTCCCGAATAATGATACACAACGCCACTCTTCGCCAGTAAGGAATACTTCTCAAGGAAGCCCACAAAAAGCGGTCCCCGTCGAATTTTTTCGGGATTTCCTAACTCTGATTAGTCAGTCTGGCATCACCCAATATACTCTACAGTTTCTTTCCCCAAGGAAAGAATTCAGCCTGGAAGCAAAGCCAGCAGTCTCGTGATCTATGTGAAAACATAAATTGGGACCCCAAATCAATACAATGGTGGCTCGTAAAAAGCCTAGAAGCCAGATGAACAAAATCACCCTGAAATCTTGAATGCTACCGTTAGTGCTTGAGCTTGAGCTTATCTGCATATTGCAAAACATGGAATCCGTATTATTGAGTTCCTCGATTTTGACATTGGTAATCATATACTAGTTGATTATCGTAATCTCGTCCACCGGTTTTAACGAACGATAGGTTGTATGCGAGTGGAGACGGCATCGGCGTTCTACTGCTGCGTAACAGTAACGGAAAGACGCTGTTGTGACTAGCGAAAAAAATAGAGGCTTAGAAAATCAGTGCCAAGAGCCTGAGAGCAAAAGGGTCAAGATCAGGGCGTCTGTCCCTTAGAAGTCCATCAAAATGGACATATCTGGGTATTATGTCGATATAAGATGTGGACTTAGAATCTTTTGTTACCCTAATCCAATACAAACCCAGAGACAAATGTTGGGTTGACAGTCCAGCTAGGAAGTTACAATGTGCTCCATATTGTGTAGGCTTTTCAACTATGTACACACGTGGAATAACGTGGATCCAAGCCAGAAAGGTCCTTTTACTTGTAGTCACTTGCCTCACACTGTCGTGGTACAGCCAGAGTTTTCGCCAGCGGGGATTTCGAGTGGAAAACAACAGCTCGGTAGATTATAATTGGACATAGGTAGCACATGTCTCCATCGCACTAGTCTGAGCCTTCGGCATATACTCGGGACCAGATGCTACAGCTGGAGGTTTGCGCTTCTGCATTCGTCAAAGAACGCCTTGTATTCTGGCTTGAGTATCGTAATCTGCCCAACAGAACATCATCCTGATGAACGTTCATTATCTTGGTTTGAAACAGGCGGTTGGATGCGCGATCGTCGGAAGGACATGTTTCAAATGTGTATCGCAAAAACGGTGCCACGAAAGAGTTTTTTCCACCGATAGTCTGAAGAAGGTTCGGAATGATGACTTCTTTTTTGCTGGTGGTTAGTCATGTCGTCCTTCGAGGAGTGTCTCTTCGCACGAGAATCCTGTCTCTCTCAAACCAGTGTCGTAGCCAGGGACTTCCATCCTCTTTTTTCAGGGTTCTCGCCCTTCGGGAGTGTAATCTGGAAACGCTGGAAACAATGCAATATGGATATCACATGAAATATAAGATTACATGAATAACTGTTTATGGTAACTGTCCAGCTGTTTGTTTTCGGGGACTTGTCCTCTTGGCCACCACGTAGAGTACTGTGCACAAACTTCCAACTTTGGGTTCACGCCTCTACGTGGTGACTAGCTCGGGGTATTTCCCCACACCAACAAAGTCCACTTTAGGTGCAGTAAAGGCTCGAAATCCACAGCTCAGACAGCACAGTGGGTTTCCTCGCAAAGCGCTATACTTTCCCTGGCGTGAATGTTCAGCATTACATCTGAGTGAACATCGTTTTAACATTTTTCTTTGAGAGATAGGATCGAAAATTAGTCGAGCAGATGTTAGTTGGTATGAATGTTGAGGGTTGTGCAACCTCTAGGAACACATAGTTCAATTAGATCATCCTGGTAAGGGGACGAAAGCTCACTTTAATGTGTATGAATGAGAGGACACTAAGATTACTTTGGAGAAGTCGCAAGCCCAATGTGGTGGGTTCTTTCACTGTTGTAGCGATTTCTGTGGATATTGGAGCTAGTCTTCATGGTAGATTTCATCTATTTGGGGGAAACACCAGTCAGTACACTGCTTACTCTGATGCTTTATTATACTGTGAAGTTGTGATAATTTTTTTTGCTCTACACATGTGGTCTGTTGGCGCGATCCCCTCTACCCAAATTAGACCACCATCAACGGAGATCATTTATATCATCCCCATTGAACATTTCCTCACTGAATTCGGCACTTAACGCGACATCAAATCGGTTTGTGCACACTTTTACGGGACTTATCGTCTGTATGACTGACTACTGGTCGTCTACTTTGTAAAGCGCACCCATGGTTGATCTTTGGTTCATCTAATGTTGATTGTGAATATCCAACAACGGACTAACTTCCTGTTGATTGACAAGTTCATTGCTTGAAGGTGTGTTGCGGTGTTTGATAATTTGCTCAGAAGAGCTCCCTAATTTTATCCTTGTTCTTTTTTCAGGTGATCCATTTGACACCCACCTTAGTTCTCAGAGTGCAAGATGCTCTTTTGGATTTGTTTGAGTAAGTTCTTGCGACACCCAGTGTTATTTCACCCACTTATGTTACTTTCTTGACTAGAGCGAATGGTTCACCTGCTAGTCGTATCCCTTCTGGACAGGTCACCCGGACCTTTTGTAGTTTATCTTAGTCTTATCTAAGTAACTCATCCTGCTGGGCCTCCTCTGGCTTCAGTTAATTTGACTGATTTGAGATTTCCCTAGCCTAAAGTTTTCTTGTCGGGTCTTTTGCTTATTTCCAACGTATAAGTCATCTCAGCTCACGCCCATAGCCATTGATCTTGCGAATCTGAGTTACACTACGGTACCGTGGCTGTCTGGCGAAAATTTTCATAACAAGTCATCTAGCCACTTAAGCAGCTGGTCAAACAATTTGAACTTGTACTACAAATCGTCAGACCTTAGTTGCACTGAACCCAGTTATTCCGATTACCAGAAGTTCGCAAAGGATGCTAGGTCATACTTACCACAGCATGATGCTCAGATGTGTTTGTTTTATGGCTGTTCGTCCTTTCTTCATCAGTTCCCAAAGGATACGTGACCTTTTTGCCCTTGGTCTTCATGATTTCCCACACTTTACCAGTAGTTTCATGGCTGTCGATTACTTTGATGGGACGGTAAAATCTCTTACTGCTGATGTGTCTTTATACCATCTTTTGGTAATAAGCGAACAGAAGTTGACCGAAACTTCAAAGTCCACTCGTACTCTGTTTAAATGAGCTCGCCAGTCACAAGTCCGAATATTTCTCCCTCTGCTTGTGCTTTCAGTATGCAATCTATTCTCTTCGTTTTTTAATTAGTGTCATGGTCTGACTTGATTACGTTTTGACAGACTGCATAAATTCGCAAATCATAGTGAATTGTCCTTTGTGACACTAGGATGAATGACGGATAGAGGTCTGTTAAATCCAGTATATCGGCCTCAAAATGACTGATCGTGTACTTCTTGGCCACTCCACGCTACCTTGTATATGATTCATTCTAAGTGATTCATTCACTAACTCGAAAAAGCCTTCTCGACCTATATACTGATCCAGAGAATTGAACACACCTTCGGGTTGCTTAGCGTACTGGAATGGGTTTAACATGATCATTGATTTATTTGGTTTGGCATCGCGACCGATAACTGCCGTATTTTGTCCAGGCTATCTGGACATATAATTGGAGCTTTTGTTTCTGACAGGGGGGGTTCTTCCGTTTTTATCATTTGCTCATTCAGCAACGGGGCCATCATTCGTTAAATTTCATTCGCACAGTACTCTTGTTGCGGTTGCCATTAATAGTTTTTCTCTTCCTTCACCAGTTTTATTCACCTGCCTTCTAATTCACGTGTGGACATGGTGGCTGAAATCAAGGAGAGCCACAAGAAACCACATCAAAGGTCCAGTGCTGCTTGTCACGGCACATCCGGATGACGAGACAATGTTTTTCTCTCCCATACTTCTTTGGCTTAAAAAGGTGAATGTCCCTGTGGATTTGCTTTGTTTCTCTGCGGGGAACTATGAAGGACTTGGTGCCATTCGTGCAAATGAGCTGCGCCAAGCGGCCAAATGCTTCGGTATTCGCAACCTACGCTTGATAGATTCTCCAACAATATTTCCGGATAGCCCCAGTGTGGATTGGTGCCCGAAATCTATTTTGGAGGAAGTTGGGCGGACTTGTGAACAGTGGGGTTCGAGAACACTAATAACATTCGACGAGTATGGGGTTAGTTCGCATCCCAACCATCGTGCAATATCCTTGGCGTTGAGAACTCTCACCCAAGGCCAACTTCCACCCTGCCTCTGGCTACAATCTGTTCATGTCTTTCGAAAATATTGTTGGATAATCGATACTTTATATACATCACTAGTGCAGCCGGAAAATTGTCTTATTTTTTACGTTCCTTTGAGTTCCCTTGTAACCGCTTACACCACAATGTTTGTTCATCGGTCACAATTAGTGTGGTATCGTTGGCTGTATATCCTGTTCTCAGTGTACATGTACAAAAATACTCTTGTGAAAGCGTAGGTTGTCTTCTGTTTTCCTACTCGCACTGTTACTGGCGATGACGGGAAAAGTAAGCTGTTGGTGTGTAATCCTGGTTTACTAATTCATCAGCGAATGCAGCTGACACTGGGTTCTGCACTGGCAATACCAGGAGTATTGCTACAAGCATACGTTACCTGTTCACTGAGTGTTTGGGAAATAGTCCAGAGAGATTCAAACCAGCAGCCTCCTGGCTGCGGGTTGAAGAATGAACCGTTGGGCTACTAGCAGTTGATCAGCAGTGGGGTTAGCTATCACTTGAGTAAGGCAGCACCACCCATCATCCAATCACGGGACCTACGTAGTTGCGTGTTACCTGGCTCCTCGAGTGGCGACTTCACTCGCCATGCGAATCATCCTTCCTCTGAGCCACTCATACTACCAACAATTGTTTTGCCTACATTTTTATTTCAAATACATCCGAGTCATACGCAGAACCTACTGAGGGAACAGATCCGCCTCCCTTTCACCTCCTCAACTTACTCATGATCATCTATCCTACTGCTGTTTCTTTTAATAAGGTTAGTCCGTTTGTGTCAAAGACCAATGTCTATTAATGGCATCGTGCTATTCTTTTCATCCGGAAACTATGTACAGTAATCTAGGTTTTTGATTTTTACTCGTGTATATCCGTTGAACCTAATTATCATTTACTGTATGCGATAATGTTAACTTGGAGATGAATACTAAAGGCACCATTGAATTGTGTGGCCAAGTGCGTTGACTCATGCACAGAAACAGTGTATACCTTCACGTAACGGTTCCTAGAACGTTAACGAAATCTGTCACTCCACTGACGTCTTTGCTCTTTCTGGTGTCCAACATCTTGGCTTGTTGCCAGAATTCCCATCAGCCTCATCTCATACTTCGGTATGAAACTCGTCAGCTAGATCAGGTTTGTTAAAACAGGGATGTTTCCGTGCAAATTAACACTCATTTTCAAATTAGGTTGGTGTTTACATGATGTTTGGTCGAGTCTATCGTCCGTGCCGCTGGTCAACTGAATGTGGTACATAAACGCCGCCCTTGTTTTAATTGGAAGGGTATTCAGTTTATCGAGGTATTTTCATTTGATAATAACTAATTCAAAGGTCAGCATACTTAACATCATCAATTTTGGTTGAGTTCGCTGGTCTAGTTCGGACGTTATGACTCGGAATTAAGCGAACTCGTCAATCTGGTACATTCGCGCTTAATGAGCGACTGAAAGGATGGTCCATTAACAAACATATAGCTTAGAAAAAAAATGTTAGCCCATACTGCCCATTAGTCTAAATCATTGATCTGACTGCACTGGGGGATTGTCAGGATTCTGAGGCAAGACCTTTTGGCGCAATCATTTTTCAAAGACGCTTTTAATGTTTGCAAACGGAAGAAGGTAGAACAACATACTGCCTTTGCTCTGGTATTGGACTTGCTCGACGTTGATATATTGCGTATCAGGAACATAAATTCTCCGCAACCTTCAAATCCCAACGATCCGACGTTGCTCGATATTTCTCCAAAAAACTCATAGAAACTGCGCCTCCCTGATCGTGCCGGTTCAGTGGTAACCACGCTTATATCGGACAATGCTCATCCCTATGGTGCTGTCCCTTTTCCTAAACCCCCTGTGCCAAGAACCCCCGCAAGTCATGCTTTTATCCTGACTGTAACATTCTGATCATGCCTAACGGTATGCCATCCACAAGTTGGGAATAAACATTGTTATTATTAAATTCCAAGCAAGACCACCAGGCTGACTGTTCCGTCATTCGCCGCTTGCTTCCGTATGCGCATCTCCAGCGACTCGGAATACTCCGACGGGATTTTCTGGGTTCCTTACCGGCTGGAAATATCCGTGTTTGTCTGCATGCCCGTTGATAGTAGCCTTCGTGCAGTTCGTCGGACAAAGTCCGTGAAAGCATCTCACAAGCAGGAAGCTCTCTAGACGTAATGCACTTCTCTTAGTATTGCAGGAATGCTGCGAAAACAACCTTATACGTAGTGTGTTACACCTATGCAATGTAACGCGATATCTCAACTGTCGTGCGAACTGAAACGTGATGCGACCTGACACAGTACACCGAGTTGCTTAAGAACATCTTAGATGAGTGTTTCAACTGGGTTCCAAATGCGTTTCCCGTCAAAACCAGGTTGGTATGCAAATCAGTGGATTTCGCTGACAGTTGTCCTGCGCGTCGTGGTGATCTGCGACGCGAGTTTAAATTTGGACGCAGCTGCCACAGGCTCTACGCCATGTTGCTTAGCTTCCAGTCTTTTTCACGAAGTCTGTGACATGAGCGCCGATGTTTTCTCCAAACGCCAAACGTGCATGCTATTTTAAGGTTCACCAGTATTTCTCTGATCGAAGCACCCGACGTAGGTTCACAGGCATCTGCTTATTCTAGGATTTAGAATGAAAATTTACCGATTTCTGTTTGCGTACCTTTCTACGTTCCCTTTCAACTCTATGGTCCTCGTTTTGCCTTCCCTGCCTTTGCCACTTCATTCGACTGGCATGCAATTTGTGTGATCACTCACGTTATCTGCTCCACTGCGCTTTATTTGGGACCATTTTATGCTGATTTCCGTTTTTTGTGGTATTTCACCTTTTCAACATAGTGTCCTTCATCCGCCCTAGCCGATGTGGTAATGTAAAGATATACCAATAACAGCTATCTATGAAATAAAGCCTCACTGTTATTCAGCAGCTCGTCAGTTAGCTACCAGTGACCATCCACCTGCCTGATATCGTCTAGTTAAACGTCATTTATATGTAATAACACCCTTTTTACTGTCTCATTCATCCTCACGACCAGTAACTTTTGTATTCGCCAAAACAGTGCATCCATTGTTCCAGCGCACTATTTATTCCTTCCAAACACACGGTTGGAAAAGCTTTAGCCGTGACCGTTTGTTCCACACATTAATGGCCACTCACCCGCACAGCTGGCTCTCAACCTAACGAGAGATAGCTAGTCAATTTATCCTCATTTCATAACGCATTTCTAGCGTGTGCTTTTGTGTTTGTTCTCACCCTAAGCTGATACATAGACACACACCCGAAATATCTCTGAGGATATAGTTTAGAACCATTGAAACGTTTACATGATTTTTCGGAGTTGACGGCATTCACCCAAAACATGATGATTTCCCAGATAGTCGCAAATTGCTAAAATTTGTTTAAGCTTACTTAAGTTCCAGTTTGGGAGCGGAATTCATAGTTGAATTGGCCCTTTTGGATTAGAGGAGAGTTCAGAGTACGAGTTCAATCTTTTGAGCCCTGTCTGGCCAGCCCGGGGTGTTAGCGATGATAAGAAAGTAGTCCACCGGACCTTTTCCGCCAGAGGCATGACTGCTCTGGTGGACATTGAAATTCGGTGAGGTGCAAAGATATGAGTGTAGATTCAAGTGGATTTTGGTTTGAGCGCATACGCAATGAAATATGATATTTCAGCGTAAGGAGTTTTACGTCGCTCGACAGAATTCTCGCATCTAAGAGCATTGTGCTTCTAATGGGCGCAAGCATGAAGTCTCCCTGGAGATGGTGGGAAAGTATTTGAAAAAAGGTTCCTGTACGTGTTATGGCCTATATTTGATTGCGAAATGTTCTCAAACACGAAATAAAAAATGAGTATACCTTCTTTGTTCACGGAAATTCAAAATGGAGTAGCCCTTCGCCACCCATGTAAGAAAAAGTTTCCCATCGTCGCAGCAAGCGTTCCACCGGACAAAACCAACGAACTCTCCGTAGGTAGTGAGGTTGGTTGATTTTTATGATAGTCGACGCATGCCATTTTGGACTCGCGGTAAGGCTTTATCTCCAGTGGTGTACAGCCTCACCGAGTGTCACGAGAGGGATTATTGGGTTTGTGGGCAGTATTAGTAGTCAGCATATGTGACGGTCGGCACTTCTGATTTTTGGCGCAAATTCTGAACTGATGGTGTCCTTTTGGCCCATTTCACACTATCAGCGAGAAAACAGTAGTCGTTTGTTGAATCAATAGTAGGAGTGAGCATGGTGGTCGCGGTAGGATCATCGTGACTTTGTGAATGGGCTCGTGAACGGCTCCGTTCGTGAAGGTAGTGGGTGGGTGAGTTAGGGCTGTCTGGTTTTCTAGGATTAGCCAAGAAGTCCTGATAAACTAAGATCGCACGGGTCAGGCATCCTTTTCGGTCCATTGAGGCCGCAAAGCGGTTCGTTTCCAACATCCAAACGAGGCAAAAGGTTAACCATACCTAGATTTTGGACTCAAAATACGAAGTTCTCAACAAATTCTGCTATACAACACCAGAGTGTAATTTAGATTGTGACCGAAACCAGCAGATAGTTAAGAGTGGAGGTAATAGAGGTTGGTGGCATGCAATCAGCGCTAATCGGCATGGCAATACGTTTAGCTAAATGGTGTACCACGAGCTTTATGGCGAGTTGCGTAACTATCCATGAAGTTGGGTAGGAAGTACAAACGGGAGATAGGGTCGTTCCAAAAATTTTGGCAAAAAGGGGCGAGAAAGACGTTAAAGACGCACTTGGAACGTATTAGTAACGCCGATTTGGAAAGTAGACGAGGGAGACGCAATAAAAGTTTGACAACATCGTGAGTGGCTCTCTTATTCGCTCATATATTTAGATGGCCAAGATGTGTTTGCGGAAGTGAAGATGGGCAGGAATACCTTCAGTGATGAGCTAGAGGAGGCCAAAACCTACAACTGACGTAAAAACGATACCCATGATAGTCTGAAATGGTGAATGGCTTTCAGCTTTCGAGGTGTACTCGAGATGCGCAAGCGCTTCTAGCTATGGCCAGATGCTGAAGTTCACACAGTGGTTGATTTAAAAACGCAAACACCGGAGCAATCGGCGGTGTCCGTGGGCAGTTCCATGAGTTAACTGGAGTGTTGCTGAGGCTGTGTGGGGTGGCTAAAAATTATGATGGGAAATGTCTGTTGTTTCTGTTATTATTGAGGGCATAATAGATGGGACGCAGAGTCAGATTGAA